CATTTGGACCCGTAATGTCTGCTTCGTGTGCTTCCCAATTTGGACCTGACGTTTGGCATATGCTTGAGCTTCTGGTAATGTTAAAACGTTTCTCATTTGTTTAACATCTTTTTGAAGACCAGCAACAATATGAACTAATTCTTTCATTCCATCAGGAACTTTCATAGTTCTATTATATGCACCCTTTTTGTTTGTCCCTTGTTTTAATGGAACCTGTAGAAGATTTGCCATTTCTGTCATGTTTAATTATAAATAAAAAATAAAAATTAATTATAAAAAGTTAATCAAATTTAACACTTCCTTTATTTAAATCAACTATTATTTTTCCATGTTCACTAATTGCTGATATTGTGTGTAAAGTTCATTAATGCTCATTGGTAAATTCACTTGATAAAGCATAACGTTCAACTGTTGACGACTAAACCCACTGAAAATGAAAAGTGTTGATAGATTTGATTTAATGTTTGTGCTTAATGCTTTGAAGTATTGAACAGCCATGAAGAATGAACACTGAATGTGTCGACATTGAGTTAATAACTGATTAAAATATGATTTCTCATTTGTTATTAGTTTTGATTTCACTGCATCATCTAGAAAAATGAGTGAATGCAAAAATTCTCTATCAAAATTTGAAATAGAAAGTGTTTCAAATAATTCATCTCGTTGTTTATCAATAATTTTATCCTCTAATCCTTGCTTCTTGATTGTATTATATAATTCTTTATACATTAAAAAGTTTTTTAAATAATCTTCTGCTTCTTCTTGTGATAAATAAATAATTGGAATTTTGATTAAATGCTTTAAAGATTCAAATGTATCATCTGAAGGTGAACCTGAACGGTTGATATAAATTAACACATGTGAATGGGGGAGGTGTTAGCAATAATGATAATTTGTTTTAATATCGTTAATGTTTTACCTTTATTCTGTTTACCAATTGCTGCAGTGATTGAATTTAAGTAACATTCAGAATATGGAATTTTCATTAATTTTTCCTTAGATAGAGCATTTCTATTATCACTCAATGCTTCATTAATCATATCATCTACGTATGTATTATATACTCCTGCTAATTCTTCATAAGGGGTGGATGAATTTAAATCCATTTAATCAAAAAATAAATTTATAATTTTATACATTTCTATTCATCAATATTTCATCATATGAACTTCTATACTGTGGTGGTGTACCTGTTGGATGATATTTCAAACCTTCATCCGGTGTCCATGTCCAATATGTAGTCCTAGTAAACCAAACCTGAGGAGGATTTGTCACCTTTGAACAGTAAGTGTCATTTACCCTGAATGATTGGATAAGCTTTCACTTGTACTGTAACTTGTGAGTTGAAAGTTTCTAATCCATCAAAGAATATACCCGCCCCATCACGTTGAACTGGAATAGTGCATAAGAATGAAGTTTGGTCTTTCCATGTTCTAGCTAATGGCGTGCCATTATCATCATTCAGTGGTCTAGTTAATGAGTCCTCGTATTCTTCCGTGCATTCATTCACTCCATCTAAATCAGAAGCTTGAAGCATACGTGTAAAGAATATGTCACCCACTGTGGTCATCGCTTGATCGGGGAAGTTTCTGGAATCTATAGTGACCTGAAGACCTCGAAGCATTGGATTTTCTAAAACTGTTTCTTTGCATTGCATTCTTCGAAATGCTAACACAACATCTGTAACATTATGAAGAGCGTATGAGAAATCTGAGCTGATACCTTCAGGAGTGATGCAACCTCCATTTAGTGAACGAACGTCAATATGTTGAGCTGGAATCATGAATGGATCTTCCTTACTGAATAAACGTGGTATTGCTTTAACTGATTCTTCAATTAAACCGTATCCTGGTGTAATGCATTTATCCTCTAAAACTTCCATCTTTGTGCATGAAATAATAACGTCATCAACTGTTGCGTCAGCAGATGTAGCGGCTAAGCTTGTAATTAATTTGGCAGGAAGTCCGATTTGTTGGAATTTGCGATCATATTTATAAACATGATTCATAATCTTTTCATAATTTTCATCAGTTATCTTTTCATAAACGTAATTTTGTAAATCAGCAACTCTTAACGGGTCAACTGACAAAATACTAAAGTATCCCTGAAAACATAATATTTAAGAATGATTTCACCAAATGATTTAGGATAATCATCGAACGCCTGAAATGCTAACAAATCATTTACCGGAATAATCATATCAAAAGTGACATCAACTTCTTCATTTGCTTTCTTGAAAACTTCTGAAGGGTCAATATATTTACCACATACTGAGTTATCATATTTTTGAACATTATTATATAACGAATGAACAAACTTTTTAACTTTCCTTTCTGATTTTGGTTTATATGTTGCAAATGCGAAAGATTCACGGGCGCAATCCATCTGAAGATAACCGGCATCACCTCTTTCAGTTTCTACTTCTAATTGTTTAAAGCTTTGATTTGATGATTTGTAACCAACGAATAAACGCATGCATTTAAAAGCGGCATCGCATGTGAAAGCTTTATTTGAAACTAGAGTTGCTTTAACTTTGCGTTTAATATATGTGTCACTAATTGGTTCACATCATGAGCCGATTTGTAATTCTTAAATGAGTTTGTTTATCATCAAAATATGGAGCATCAGAGTCATAGCATGAACTTTCAAGTTCTCTATAATATCTTCTACCGTCATTCTTTGCGAATATTTCATTTATCTTTTCGAATGAATGAAACACATTTCCATTAATCGGTTTAGTGTTTGGCACTAATAGTTAGTCGTCATTTATTATTAAATAAAAATCAAAATTAAAAGATGAAAATGAATTTTTAATTTTAATGAAATAATCAACTATGGCTGCAGGTATATTTAAGAAACTGTGGGATAAAGTAAAAAGAGGAGCGCATAAAGTTTGGGAAACAATTAAGAAAGGAGCAAATTGGATATTTAAGAATAAAGAAGCAATTAGTGACATTGCTGAATCAATAACACCAAAAGCCCCAATAAGAGAAATATAATAAAGGAGAAAAAAGTTTATCAAAGACTTCAACCGATACTAAGATAAAAATAATATTTATTTTTTTTCCACTATCTACCTCCTATTTTATTAAGTATTCCTTCAGCAATTCCACCAACTGCGTTACCTGCTTGTGCTCCCATCGCCGGATTACCTGCTTTAGTACCTAATACTCCACCTATGATAGTTCCTGCCATTTTCGCTACTGGTGCCAAAAAAGTTTGCAACGGGTTTAATAATATTTTTATGAACCCAACCTGCAGCTTTCTTAATTCCATCCCATAATTTTTTAAAGAATCCTGCCGCCATTTCTGATTTAATATTAATTAAAAAATATATTTCATCACTTATATTCTAATTTTTATTTAATGATAAATGAAACCAATTTTAAAAATAAATGAAACAGAGGAGGAAGAAATAAATGAAAGTGAAAATGTTCAACAAAAAATAAACGTTGTTAAACCAATTACTGAAATAAAAATTTTTTCATCTGTTGAAGAATTTAATGACTATTATGCTAACAATAAAAAATTATTTGAAGAATTGACAACGTGTAAATTGAATAAAATGTTTAAAGTTGATGGATTCAAAATTTCAAAAATAAAAGGAGTGGTTAGTTTGAAATCTATTCCTCAATCAAGAATCACCTCATTAATGAAAATTGATGATTTAACAAAAAGAATAGAAGAGATTGAAGAAAGAATGAATCAAATAATTGATTTCATAAATTCAAATAATCATTAGTTTCTTAAAGTTCTATGTTGATTCTGAGACATGAATTTTTAAAGTTTATTTTTTTATTTTTTTATTTCATTATGGTAGTTTATTTTTCATTCATGAAAATAATTATTTCTAATTTCTTTTACTCGTTTATGAGGTCTTTGATTATGACTCCATTGATTCCATGAAATTAAATATTCTTTATCATTATATTTATACCTCATTAGCTTATTTTGGCTTTCATATTCATTTAATAATTCACAATCTTCATTTTTAAATTGAAGTTTAACCCATTCAGGATTTAAACAATGTTTAATTAATCGCGGAATATCTGACATCATCTATATATAGCTTCCCTTTAAATCTTTGAATATAAACAGGAACACCATCCTCTAAAATTCGATAATCTATTTTATCTGGTTTTACTTGTTGGGTCATTTATGTAAGAATAAAAAAATAAATTATTTTAAAATTAATATGTTAAAATAATGATACAAAATCGCTCGATATTGTATGAATTCTTACGTTTACAAAAAAAGTCACACAACCCATCCTATCCTACTACTTTTAGATTTAAAACAATATTTTTCTCCATATTATTATAACATGAATCGCTATGATATAAGAAATATATTTTCAATATTGAAATTGAAAAATTCTAAAATTTTTGAAATTCAATTTGAGTGTGATGATCGATAACATATATTTTTTAATTAAAATCTTGTGTCGCTATCATATAAATATACTATTTCTAAATTAAAAATAGAAAAAAAAGTACTATTTAATGATGAAATTGCAAATAATATCAATATATATATATTCATGCTGATATATTTTGGGAACAGATTGGCAATCACATAAATAGGATTGTGTTAGTTTGTCATGGATATAAAACAAATTTTCGAGCTAATTGAGCGAATTTAAATCACAAACACTTATATTTTCTATTACAAGGTATATTTGTAATATACAACCAGTAAATAGCTTTCTCTAACTTTTACCAGCTTAGATGATAGCAAATTAGATACGAATTTCATGACCCCTCACCAAATTCCACTAAAACATATACAAATAAAAGTACTAAGTGGGTATCATCTAACCCTAGAATTATAGCTCCTAGGACTCATCCTAGATGGTAGTTCTGGAAAAACACCTGTTTTTTGGAGTTGCAAAAGTTAAAAATTGAGGGTATTATTCAAAACACGACTCTAAGAAATTTGTACAAAACAGCTGAGCTTCATTTCAATCCAATCTTTGAATTGAATCTTTGCAAAATTAAAAATTAAATTCTCATCGGAGGTTTCTTCTTTGAAGGGGATTTCGCTCTTTTTGGCAATGTTATTACAGGCTTAACCGCTACTTGTGTCTTCAGACGTTGTTTTGTTGCATCATCAGCTGCATCAGGAATTCTATAAGGAGAAGCAATTTTAATTGGCATCACCTTTAATGCGCTGATGATTCTTTCAAAGTTTTTAGTCTGTGGGGAATCTGTTGGGAAAACTTTTACAAATTTACTTTCTCTTATGGCAGCTTCTTTATCTTTCTTTATCTTCTTGAGTATCTCGGGATGATGGTCCAAGAATGACCTCATTGTGTTATCACTCCACTTTCCAATGTGAGTATTAACTGCATTTTGAAGAGAAGTGAAAGGAGCACTGATTTTCATAGCAGAAGCAAGCATCTTTACCTTCAGTTCTTTTTCTTCTTCAGTGTCAAACTCTAAAGATGGTCTGTAGTTGACTTCTAAAATCCATGGATTCAATTGAGGGTCAAGTAATATATCAAAGCCTAAAATCTGGAAGCATCTTGGAAGACCGTATGAAGGACACTTCTGATGTGCGGCTTTTGTCATGAAATTCGATATTGATATAACAGTAAGTGCAATAATAGTATCAATCCTCTTCCAAAGCTCATCGACGTTATATCCTTGAGCTGCTATTTCGGAAAATACAGTTTCAATTCGTTTTGTGATAGCAGATAAATCTTGAATATTATGTCTGTTAACAGCAGTGTTTGTAATGCTTCCAAATACAGAATTGGAATCTTCTTTAGCAGAGCAAAATCTTGCAATGCCATCTCTGTAGACAAATATCTCAAGTTCTGGAGAAATCGATGAAACAAGACAATAAACACGTAAATCGAATTTTGTGCCGTTCAAAAGGAAAGATTCAATGTATTCTTGTGCTATAGATAGCAATGTACTTGGTTCAAAGTTGTCAGTTGGCTTCAAAATCACGATTCCATTACCTAATGATCCATTATCTGGTTTTATAATGTATTTCTTCTGGTGTTTGGCAACTGCTTGCGAAAATTGGGCATTTTGCATTGGAAGGATAAATGATTGCGGAAGAAATTGAGGAAAATCCGACATACATGAAGAAGTATTTTGAAGAATTCTAACCAAAGGAGCTTTTCTACATATTAAATTTACATCAGGAATACGATTAACTATTTGATATGGTAATAAGTTTGAAAAATAATCTTGATCTTTGATCTTATCATACCAAACGAGAACAGCTGTTGGATCATTTTCATTCCAAGCGATGTTTGCCGCTGCCATTGCTGCCGGAACTGTCTCAAACTTAATAAAACCATTGGTAGCTTTTAATTGACATTCCGACATCGTGATTTCGTATCGGTTTATAATTTCCGTAATGAAATGCTATTTTTCTTTATTTAACTTTAAAATCTCATAATGCATCTTGTTGCCGTTGAACTCAACGATGCTTCAAAAATTTCTATAAACAAAAAAGTGACATATAAAAGCAATACATTTCCAAATAACGATCATCAAACTGTAGTTCAAATGTAAAGACATAATATTTTATTTATCACATTCACCCAGAACAGATAAAGCGAAATCACGTATTAATTCGGCAATCTTATGAGAAATATTGTTTATGAAATCTGACCACCCAGAAATTTGAGAAAAGATATGCCGCTTCAATAGTATATCCAATTGATGTTGCAACCATATTATTTGTAAATCATATTTTCTCATTTTCATAAAATTTGAATTCGAATTTCAAATTATTTGGGTAAAAACAAGCGCTTCCAGATTGATAGACTTGTAATTTTCGATTGCCATTAAGTTCATCGAATTTTATTTTTTAATTTTTTGGCGCCAACTCCCCTGGTATTTCCCCCTAAAATGCGCAGTAGTCTCAAAATGGATATAGAAGAATTTAGAAAATTATTAGGACCGATATTTGAAGGAGATATACAAGCATGGGAGTATCATCAGGAACTCGTGAAAGAGAACCCAGATACTCTTTTGCTACTAAATATTGAGAATATCAAATCTGGTCATGAGAGCTCAGTGAAATCTGCCATTCTATTTGCAAGAGAAGTTTCATTGCTTGGTAAATCACTACTTTCAATACAAAATTTGGACTTACCCCAAATCTTTCTCGATTCATTGTTACAAATCCTGATGGAATCAAAAAATACCAAAATTTTCATTCATATATCTACATGTATCTTCAGACTAGCAAAGATATATCTACCTTCTGGTCAGATGCTTGATATTTTTGACAAAATCTTTGGAAATTTTGAAAATTTCTCAAATCCAGCCAAACTTGCTTTAGCCGATTGCCTTGCTCTCATATCGAAGTCTAATAATATCGATACTGTTCAGTACTTTGACAATCTTTCACAGATAATTAACCATTTAATACAGATAGGAACACCCGAATCAGTTAAAACCGGCCTTTTCTTACTATACTCGTGCGTTCAAACAGAGGAACATTATCAATATTACCAACAATTAATCGATTTTACTCAAATCTTGACTCCTGAAGTTGATTTCAAGATTTTGGCTGGATTTTGGGGATTCGTAGAGTCCAATCCAACGTTTTTTGGAGAACAAATTTTTCAAATTTTCCAGTCATTACTTCAGATTATTGAAAATGGCAACGACAAGCTCAAATGTCTCTCTTTAGAAATCATTCCTTGTTTCATTGACGCTTATTCCCAAGAGTTTTATTCCGAAATTCCACAGTTAATTACAAATTTATCAGAATTATTGAATTATAAGATGGAAGAATTCACTTTTCAGAAGACATCCGATGTGTATATACCAAGAGACATTGCCAAGTCTTCAATAAAGCAAATTGCAGCTGCATATCCTGATGACATCGAATTGAGTAATCATATTATAGAATATTTTGCACAGATATCAGAAACAGATGATCCAAATCAGATTCATATGTTACTTATGCTTCTTGAGTCAACTTACGATTCATTCCTCGATTGCTTCCAAGGATATGCCAGATCAGACTTCCTTCCTCTTATTATGACACAGTTTTCGAACGAAAACGATATAATTCGTTTTGATGCTTTTAATGTCTTCAATATTGTTCTGAATTCTCTTTCAAATGACTTCAATGACGATTCACCAACAGATGAAGAGATATTCACTGCTATTATACAAGTCCTTTCCGAAGAGTCAAACGAGTATTGCCAACAAAAGGAAATCCAAGCTCTTCAATGCTTCATCACGATTGCAAAGACCATCACCGAGCAAGAAACAGATATCATTTTACAGTTTGCCAGCCAAACAATGGAGACTTATCCTTACAAAATTTTGAAAATTTTCTCAATACTTGCCAAGAAACAGAAGAAGACCTTTTACAAATTCTGTTCTACTATATATGAAGTCATTGAACCAATATTGTCGTCATCAGAAGAGGAAGTTGATCAAAAATTAATTTATGCTGCTCTTGAAGTACTCTGCTCCCTTGCATTATGCCTAACAGGAGATGAGCTTGAACAAATTGTTGAAGTAATTTATAATTTCATTACAAATGTAGATGTCTCAAAATTAACCTCAAAAGAAAGGGACAAGATCAACGGAGCATATGGGGTTCTTGTTCAGCTAGTTAATACCAGTCAGTTTGTTAATAATTCTTTTGAAAATTTAGTTGAGAATATCTTAACTTATGCTTCTAAGGACATTGACTACAAATCAACCAATATGAACGAATATGAGAAAGATGTATTTGGCAGTAATGATGTTCTCTGCTCAGATGAAGGAATTGTTAAATCATATGAAGATTCAGACATCCAAGAAGTAGTTGAAAGCTTACAATCAGTTTATACGATGCTCAGAAAGACTTATGGAATCTCATCAATAGTTGATAAAGTGGCTCAAATTGTAATTAAATGGCTTGATGACGTTATTACCGACAATATCACAATAAAAGCCATTAAAGTCGCATCACTCATACCAAGGCATGCATATTATACCAAATTCACAGAGCTTCAGAGAGTTTTTGAAGCTACAAGAAAAGGTATAATTTCACTTTACGAATCTCTTGACATTTCTGAATTCAGTAAGGTCTGTGATTATTTCAGAGTAGTTTTGTCAGAGTTTAATCGTATAGTTAAGCCTTCAAGGAAGACTTTGGAACAAATTGTCAAAATTATTAGAGAAATTACTGCTAAGAAACAGAAACAATCCGAAAAAACATCAACAGCTTCATCAGTTTATTACTCTCTTAAGGATCTTACTATCGAATTTGTTTATATTATCAGAACTATTCTTTCCATTCATCCAGAGCTTTCAGAGATCGCGGTTCCTTTATCAGAAATAATGTATATGCCAAGCCAAGAAGGTTTCGCTTATTATTCCGTTCTTATTCGAGAATCAAATTATTTTGATTCTGACATTCAAAATTTAGCGCAAATGGCACTGAATTTAGACAATCCAGATGCTTTTACGAAGCAATCTGCGTGCGTTTTGTTACTCTCTATCATTGATTCTGGAAAATCAAATCAAGAAATTACAGAAGCAGCCATTAATGCTATAAACAAATTAGTTGAGTTCTTATCTAAGAATGTATCATATTCACGCAACGAATTAGTTTATGCTCTTATAAAATGTTATCAAAATAATCCATCAGAAAAAATTTACGTTCAATGGCTAAATAATTTACTACCATTGAAGTATTATAATAATTATTCCGCGAATGATATAGCTTTTATTGCTTTTAACATGCATTCACAACAAATTGTTAATGATGCAGTATTAGATGACAAATTTAAACAATTAATAAAGGAAGTAGCTGATAAATGTCCATTTGTCACTTCCCAAGAAATGCTATCGTCTATCGAATCTTTATAAACTTTCTATTTTATCATTTATTGGCTTATTTTTTATTTTAGTGTCTGTTGTGAGTAAATATGGTATTTTCATATTCGAATTATGAAATCTGGAAAATAAAAAATCAGCATTCTTTTAAAATAGTAAAAAATAACAAGGAATTCGGTGAGAACACAACATACAAAGCATTATTTCATTAAGAAAATCTTCACAGTTCTGAAAAATTGGAGATTTTTCCAGAAGTTTCAGTTTTTGTATATCTTTTTATCATTGTAGTCTCTTAATATTGAAATAATCTTCGTTTGTTGCATGCTAAGTTCAGTCAACGATAGGAATTGAGGGGAAATTAATCGTCGAGGAAGTACGATTATGTAAAGTAAAAAATGTTGTGGGATTTTTAATATTGTATATAATTTTAATAAATTTTTGTAGACATTTTAAGAAGCACATATAATTTTTGAATTTAAAAATTAAAGTAGTGTTGAATGAATTTATTGATTAATTAATACGGATATTCTCAAATTAATCAAAAATAGGTTTTCAGAGAAACTTTTGAGATATCTTTTCAAAATGTCTTTTTTGAAAATATATAAGTATTATATCAAATTGAAAAAAGGTATTTATCAAAATTCTAAATTTAATAAAAAATAACTTTTCAGAGGATTGTGATTTGAAAGCATGAGTAATAAGTAAAAAATATCTACGATTTTAATGAGGGAATTGTTCCTTATGAGGTATACATTATAACTATACCTCATAAGGAACAATTCCTTGATAGCTGGGAAACTTTCTCTGAATAACTTATCATTTGGAGAAGTTTTCCAGCTATCTATTAGAACTAAAGGCTGTGAGCACTAATATATAATCAGTGCCTCATAGCCTTTAGTTTCTTATTAAAAACGAGAAACTTGTTCGAAATGATAAACAATTTCGAACAAGTTTTCTCGTTTTAAGGAGGGATTGTCCTTATGAGGTATACAGTATGTATACCTCATAAGACAATTCCCTCTTGATAGCTGGAAACTTTCTCTGAATAACTTATCATTTGGACAGAAAAAGTGACACTTTACATGGCAAAAAATAGAGCCTTACTTTTGAGATACTTGAGATTGAAACTGAATCTTATGAGCGGTGATCTTGAATCACTACCTCATAAGGTTCAGTTTCATATAAAATTTGTTGCAATTTGTTATTCTTTTGCAATATATTTCTTATAAGATTTTACATCTTTTAGCGGGGAATGTTTGTTATTATGTATATATTATAAATATCTACACGATAACGAACATTCCTCGCTAAATTGCTGAGAAACTTTGAGGAAATGTCGAACAATTTCCTCAAAGTTTCTCAGATTTATATAGATCACTAGAGTCCCCTAGCACTGATTCTGGTTCAGTACCTAGGAGCTCTAGTTCTCTAACGAACTGATAAAATGTTTTTTAAATTTTTGGATATTGCTACCTGTGAAGCACTGACTTCAAGTCAGTACCTCACAGGTAGCAATTACATTGAAAGATGGGAGAAACTTTGTCGAATGTTAAACTATTCGGACAAAGTTTCTCACATTTGTAGTGGAGATGGAAGGCTTTGAGGTATATTGTATTAATATATACCCCAAAGCCTTCCATCTCCACTTGAAAGTGTCCAAACTTTGGGTTAATACTTTGCAATTAACCCAAAGTTTGGACACTTTCGAGAAGGAATTGGAGGGTAAGAGATATACATTCATATGGTATATCTCTTACCCTCCAATTCCTTCTTAAAATGGGAGAAACTTTGTCCGAATGTTAAACTATTCGGACAAAGTTTCTCCCATTTTTTGAAGGAATTGGAGGCTATGAGATACTGATGCAATGTCAGTAACTCATGGCTTCCAATTCCTTCCTAAAACTCATAAAAGTGGACATTACATGCATATAAAATTTGACATGTAAAGTCCACTTTTTGTGAGCGGGGATTTGACTCCGTCAAATCCCTTTTTCGTTTACGAGAAAGCCAAATTCTCTCAAAAAGTTAAGTAGGACCAATTTTTATAAAAAAAATCCAATTTCATTATGAATGTTAATTAATTTATATAATTATTGAATAAAAAATTTTCTTTGAGATTATGAAAAGTTCTTTGAAAAGTTATTTTTTCTCATTTTTAAATATTGTATTAGCCTATTTATTTATAATCCAAATTAAATAACTTTAAATTCAATATTTAAAGAATAATTTTGAAGGAATTGAGTTACTTCCCCCAACGATAAAATTGAGAGGTTTACATTTTGACCGAACTTAGCATGCAACACGTTTGCAATCAAATTTTAATAATATAAGCTTGTGAGTAATAATTTGTGGATTTTTTCTTTGACTCAATAAGGAATTGAATGTTTCGCATAGAGAAATAAGAATAAAAAGATCTTCTTGGTTTCAATATGAAAATCTATTGAAATTGAAATTCTTGGAAAAATTTCATCGGAACAAACATAGTGACTATGAACAGAGATTTAGAAGTTCATTACTGTGTTGTTCCATATTTATTAAACAGCGAGACTCTAGCTGCTTCATGCCGACAGGAGTTTCAAAAAAATTATTCCAAGAAATAAGCACTTGTTCACAATTTGAAAACAATAAATATTATAATAAAATGGATGGTATTAGTTCGTAGAGACTTTTCACTTATACTATTTTTTTGAAAGTTGGAAAATTGAAAGGAATAATTCCACATCCTCTCAATTTACATTAACAAAATAACATGGTTTATAGCAATGACTCATGATACTATTTTCTTTTTTAATACTTTTTTGGCATTTTGGCATTAGTGTCAAAAATTAAAAATTCCAAATTTTTAAGCGAAACCAAGATTTTTTGTAAAAATTTTCATAATTTATAATGTCTCAACAAACAAACGACCCCCACTCTGTTGAATTCCCGCCGGATTGGTCATTTGGAAGCAGTACAACATCAAGCCCTGAAAAGGCACCTAAATTACAAGCAATTGGTGAGCTTACATCCAATGAAACAAGTGGGAGTCCTGCTTCCCCAATAAAAACAACTTCCAATACACCCGGCGAAAGCAACTCACTAATTAATTATAGTATGGTGGATCCGGGGTCGAAGTCCAATGATTTTCCAACTGATGAAAATTCGCATTTACAGAAATTAGAAGAAAATAAAAATCCATCTGAAAGAAACAACATAAAAATCAATTTGGATGCTAGTGGTGATGAAAAAACCAATTTGGAAGATGAAAACGGCGAGGAAGAAGATTCAACAGAAAACCAATATGGAATTATTAGTCCACAAATTTACAGTCAATCCGATGATAATGCGGTTATTCAAAACGACGAAAATCCAGAGGAGGAAGATGAAGTCGAAGAAAATCCAGAGGAGGAAGATGAAGTCAAAGAAATTCCAGCAGAATTCAATCAAAAATTTTGGAATGGTAAACCAGAATATGTACCGACTAAACAACAGGAGATTGAGATGAACCACCAAGGTTCTGATGAAGATGAATTACAGGTTGATGATTTTAATAAAAGTATTTTCAAGCCTGTCGAAAAACCAGATGATGATACCGAAGAAATACATTAGGAAACGAAAGTCCAGAAGAAAATACCACTCGAATTCGTCTTCCTCCAGAGCTGAGCGAAGCACTTTCTAAATATATTAATGGAGAATTGAATAAAAACAACCATTCCAAGGAAGATGAAGAAGATGAAGAAAACGACAACGAACAATTACATTCCTCAGATGAAGAAGATCTTGTTGTTGAACAGCCAATGAAGAAAGAAAAGAACAGCTTAGAAGGAGTTGATCCATCCGATAATCGTGCATTTGCTGCAAAAGGCCCTCTTGTACAAAGAAATCAAGCTAACAAGAAATTACAAAAGAAGAACGCAAAAAAGAACAGCTTAAAACGAGTTGATCCATTCAATTATCCTGCATTTTCTATAAAACGTCATCTTGAACAAAGTAACCAAGCTAACAAGGAATCACAAAAGAAAGCGAGATCATCCCCGAAGAAAGACGTAACTCCACAGAAGAAGAACATAAAGGAAATCGATTTTCCTGCAATTGTTGCAAAACGCCATCTTGAGCAAATAAACCAAGCTAAAAAGAGAAATGGTAAAAGTAGAGTTCTGTCAATTTTGGAAAGAGTTTTCTAAAAAGCATCAAGCTTAAACAGTTTTAAAGTTTTCTTTTTTATAAAATTTGAAATCATATGTTTTTCCTTCAGATGACGATTTCATGTCATTCAAATAAACAAATATTGAAAATTCAATATGTTAATTCGTCTCAACTTGCAAAATTATTATTAGAATAAGTACTCGATATTTATATTCATTAATTATTTTATACAAATGTGTTGAATGACATATTGATCATTCAATTTATAAGAACGTGAAATTCAATATTTAAATAATTTAATAAAAAAAATTTTCTATTCTAACACATCACCATTTTCAATGATGTAAATGTAATCAACTATAATAAAATGACGCATTACCATTTATTTTATTTATCAAAATTATAAATATGCTTTGCATTTCTAATTAAATTCATTTAATAACAGATTTTCTTCATTTAAATATGTTTTGGCAATTATGAACATGATTATAATAATTGTTCAGATATTCATTTTCTTTTGATAATTAATTGCAACTTTGATTAATTTCATATAATATTTGTACATTTATTACTTTATGTATCATATAAACTTTAACATTCCGGTGATAATTTCCTTGGATTTACTTTCAATCTGCTTGTGTCGCAGAGTTCTCAAAAATTTCAAATTTCACCGTAATTCAAATTTTCAATTATCAATTCAATTTTTTTATTCATAAATATTTATATATAATATTGTAATATCATATGTTTATTAATTTTAATTCCGGAATAAATTTGTTTCAATTCTGAATAATTTCGGTGTTAAACATCATGTTGATATTTATAAATAATTTGCATATTGATAAAGTTTTTATTTTAGGTTTTTGTGAGCATCCATTACTTTGAGAAGCAGAGAAAAAAAAATTCACAATTTTTTTATGTATTCCAGAAACGATATACTTCGAAGTACGAAGAGAGCTAGGAATCATTTCAGCCAGGAAGAAGATACAATGCTTTTATCGCTAATTTCTTCTTTTAAAAAATGCGAAATAGACTGGGAAGAGATTAGTAGAATTATGAAAAGAACAGTTCGACAATGCAAAGACAGATATAACAATTATCTTATAAACAAAAATCAGAATAAAGATTTCACAAATGATGAACTTATGAAAATCATCCAATTATATTCCATAATTGGCCCACATTGGGTGGAAATATCTCGATTTTTCCAAGAAAGAACTGACATCGATATCAAACTTGCATTCAAGAGGCTTGAAAGGAGGAAAATTTCAACTGAAACATCGTTCCAGTTATACCTATCCTTGAACAAATATAACAATTGTGCCCTCAAAAAACTTTATACTAAAAGATTCGTATGTAGAAAAACATCAAATAAATTATCATTCCAGAAAGATGAAGCTGCTCAAAATATGGAATATATTGAATTCTCCTCAGAATATGAACAATCTATTGCTTCAGGATTCAATGAAGAGGATATTTTCAATGAATTTAGTGAATGCTGATTTTTGATTTGATGTTTTAAAATTACTATCTCATAAAGAAATATTAAATTTTAAAATGCGCATCTGTATGATGTGTTATCATCATTGTACATATAAATTAAATGATATATATAAAAGTATAAGGATTGTTTTTTATTTCAGATAATATCTGCATCACGCGACTTGAATAATATTGATGCAAAAGAAAATTATGATAACATATTAAATTACGCAGAAAAACCAACTGGTTTGTGGTATTTTCACACTTTTAAAACAAGTAGCAGAGTTATCATATAATTCAGGAATTTTCCTTGTATGAAAATTGATATGCTCTTTTTAAAGGGTCTAATATATCCCGCAACAAGTTACACTTATTCCTAGTATAACTAATTCGAGAGATTTAAAATTATTTATCTATAATTATAATAAATAACACCAATTTTTGAGGGGTTGGTTTTTATTGCGGGCGTGTCAAATTGGAATGGAAAAAAAAATCAAAAAATGTCACTTACATGAAGAACATTTAAAAAATAAGGATTGAACAATCTATTGATATATATGATCAGAACTAGTATAAGGGGTCGTCATGTTTGAGTTTAACCTTGACATGAGTAGTTTATAAAATATTCATAAAATCAGTCATTTACTATTTACTGTAAAAAGAACTAGTATACTTGTTATATGGACAAAGATTTCATAAGTGAGATGATTGTATTATAAGTTTGTAAATGGATGAGAATATTAATTTAGACTAATATTATTTTCGGATTTAAACATGTTTTGTTTAGCTTCCATAGTCGCATTGATCAGTTATTGTCCATGCTTTGACTAAATCGAAACTTGCGCAGAATATGTTGGATAATTTATTGAACAAAATAAAACCGAAATTAAAATATCCAACGAAAAATTGATAATCTAAAATGAGTTCATGTTCATTAGCCCAGGATTCAAATATAGACCAAATATTGGGGCAGATCATGGATGGATTTCAAGTAAACATTGAAACTTTTAAAATAAACAATGATATAAATAACAGATATAGAAAAAAATATGCGCAACAACTAGATAATATAAAGAATATAATTAGCAATAATAAAACAGAGAATCAAAATTATACCATACCAAATGAAGATTCAATAATAAAATGCAAAAATATGCATCAAAATTTCAAAATGTGCATGATTAACAATAAAAACTACGAAAAGCTCACTTCTTACCAAAAACACCAGGATCTAAGTTTTCTAGATGAGCAAAAGAAAAAAGAAATTAAAAATCTTTTAAGCAGAACAAATTTCAAGGATTTTGGAAAAGACACACCGTTTAAAAATCTTAAATTATCAAATATAAAACCGAAAGATCCTGTCATGCAACTGTTCGAAATTAATCCTGGAAACTATTATGAAGACTTGAAGAAAAAAGTTCTCAAAATGGTCAATATCCAGAGTCCTAAAGATTTGGTGGCATTAGTATTTCAAGAAGAATATACATGTTACCAAAGATTCGAAAATCTTGGGGAAACTCACTATTACGAATCGAAATTGCTATCATTTTTATCATCTAATTCACAAAAGCAGCTTGATCATGACCTTTCTGAATTGAAAAGAACTTGGAATTGTGATGGCAAATTTGATGAAAATGTTATCTATATTTTGAAGAAGAAATTTTTCATTGATATAAAACAGAGCAATTTTGTGCAGCAGCTGCTGATTCTCTATATCATTGAGCACCCAAACAGTTCTTTTATTTGTCCATATGTCAGTGGGATCTTTAAGGATGTTAAGGATGAAATCTCAAAGCAACTTTCATATCTTAAAGAGTTGGAAACTGATACAAAACCTATTGGCCATTTGCTCAGATTCTCGATGGAAATTGTAAGTAAAGTCGAACTTTCTCCTGGAATCAAGATATTTCTCAATATGCTGAACAATACACTGAATGATTTCCTTAAGACAAACTCACAAATGGATGTATTATTATCCTTGTTTAAGATATTGAAAAGTAATAATGTTTTCAACCAAATTCACAAAAATTTGGTCAGAAAGTTTGCTGAAAGAATTCTGTATGATATTTTCTATGATTTTCCTCCTATCGGAATATTAGCAACCATGTCATATGAGAAAGATGATGCAATATTCAATGAAGCCAAAGAAATCATTAAATTTGGACCTTTGTTCAGATATTTGAAAGCAATGAAAAGCAACATCAATTTCGACATGAAAGAAGAATATCAAATGGAAATTCTTTCAGAAGTTTTGATCACAGTTTACAGAAAAATCGGTGAACTTTGTAAGACAGATCTCATATTCCCTAATATTTTCGACATTGCAAAACCAAAGATATTACAAAAAGAATCTCACCAGCCCTCTTCATCTGAGTCGGATTCTGAAACATCAGGGTCCAAGAAAAAGATCAATATCAATGAAAACCTATCAGAGAATTTTTCAAATCTACAATTACGAGACTACAAAATTCAATCGGCAATTTATTCAACAGATGGCAATAAAGTTCTCATTGAATGGGCAACTTTTAAGTACTTTACTACCCTCTTGTTTATTCGAGATAACATGGAACCTGGATTCATAAATCTTCACATTTTCGCATGGCATAATTCAAGAGACATCAAATCTTCAAAAATACTGAATTTATTCGAGGATATATTAGTAAACTGCAAAGATGGCAAACCAATAATAGATGGTCTCCCTACAATAAAGCATGAATATGCAGCTTCTATTATTTTCATCTATTTACAAAGATGGGTTTCAATTTTTCCGAAAGATTTTGCCAAACTCCAGGATGACTCTGTTCTCACGGAAATCTTCGAACATATCAAGGACTATTTTAATATTGACGAAATCAAAGAAATTATTGAATCGGCTGTAATAAATTCAAAACGTAAAAAGCATATCCCGAAAGAAAAACTAGAGGAACGGAGCGATGCAGAATTTCTGAATGAAGTCAAAATTGATGCATTGAAGCATACCCTTGCATTTTCTGCCGATTCAATGACAGTTGCTAAGCATATCATGTTCAATCAGCTTTCTACCTATAGAAACATCAATTGTCGAGAATATGTGAATTGTAGCTGGACAAAAAATAAGCATGCACCACATCTCATTGAAATCACCACCAATTTCAATCACCTATCGCAGTACATACAGTATACTATTGTCAACTTTACCAAGAAAGATCCAAAAGCCACAGCATTCATTATTGCTCAATGGATATTAATCATGGAAAAATGCCGAATAATCAATAATTTCCAAGGACTTTTCGTCATTGAATCAGCTCTTTCATCTCCATCAGTTGCAGGTCTCCATAAATGCTGGGATGCATTGAATGAAATAACAGTTCCGGGAAGTGACTTAAAGATCAAAGAAATCTATGGTGCACTTTCGTTAATTTGTTCTCCACTTCGAAAGTTCAAGAACTACAAGACTTTGCTCATCAATATTGATGAGAGTCTTGCCCTACCATTTATCGGTCCATGGTTAACTGATATGGCATTCATTAATGATGGAAGCACAAGGTTCAAGAATGTCGAAGGAAATGAGTTAATGAATGTAACAATGCATAGGGCGTATTGGATGGTATGCTTATTTTTGAGGAAAGATTGGGGAACAAATTGTTCTTTCAAGATTTCTAAACAAATTCTCGAAATAATAAAGCATAAGACTGATACAGGTTACAGTCCATCAGATTTGCAAAAAATGTCTCTTGAATGTGAACCTAAATAAATGAAATGAAATATTTTGTATTAGTAAAAATCTATAATAAAATTATAATGTTCATACTTATTAAGTAATTTTAAATATCAATATATTAAAGAATTTATTCTTATAATAATGAAGATGTCAAAAGGTTATCTCCTTCTGCACTTGAACTGACTGAATTATCATGATCTTTCTTCCAAAATCTACGTTTCTTATGGCTTCTAAAGACAATTCCGTTGAAGGACATACTGATGATCGAAACTTCATCTTCAAATTTGATTGCTGGCCATTTTTAATCAATAGCGGTCTGAGTAATATTTCTGCAGTCTTTAGCGTTTAGTTTGAATTGATCCGAGGCAGCATCAGTACTTATTCTTGAATTGAGCTTGTTAATTACGTTCCTGACAACTTGATTATCAGGTTTTCCATCCTGAAGTTCTTTTTCAATGATGTCGCTGAATATCTTCTGATATTTCTTCTTTTGTTCTGATTTCTTCTTAATAACTAAATAATAGAATGATATTGTGAATCCAATTACACCACTGCCTGCAATAGCACTGATGATTGCAAGTAATACTTTTATTGTCATTAACATATGACAATGCTCAACTAAAACATAAACAGAAGCTAATTTATCTGAACTGTCAGTATCGTAGCAATCAGAGGATGTGTTGAACTTCTTGGAGCACGATTTCGGTGTTCCACTCATGCATTCGAAACTCATGCTTCCGAATGCTTTGTATCTTACATCAACATCTCCTCTTGAGAATGAAACTCTGTATATTCCTTAACAACCTTGGAAACAGTGTTCTCCGATTACTTCAATTGATTTCGGAATAGTGATGTATCCTGTGAATCCTTTGCAATAAGCAAAAGCGTATTTGTCTAAGTATTTAAGTTGAGAGGGTAAAATGAGTTCATTAGAAAGATCAGAACATCCATAGAAAGCAGCTTCTCCGATATAAACAACGGAATTTGGAAGAATTAATGATCCTGATATAGAATTACATCCATAAAATGCAAAAGAATCAATGGTGATGTTATCAACATCCATGTTATCGAACTCAATGATACTTGATATTCCAGAGCATTCAGCAAAAGCGTATTTTCCTATATATTTAACTGACTTTCCTATCTTAATGTATCCAGAGAAATCCTGGCATTTATAGAAACAGTTATGGTTAATGTTAACAACTTTATCAGGAATAATAATGTCTCCACAGAATTTACATTCTGCGAAGCAATTTGGCCCGATATAGGTGACACTTTCAGGTAATTTAAGCTGTCCTATAAAACCAGAGCATGCTTGGAAACAACCTGATCCAAGGTATTCAAGCTTATTACATTTATCAAAAATAAGCATCCCATCTAAATTTTTACAGCTCTCGAATGCTCTTTCTTTGATGACTTTGAGGCCGGCAGGTAATTCTAATGTTCCAGAGATACTTGATTGCATAAATGCATAAGCACCTATAACTGAAACTCTATTTCCGAAGTTAACATTAATAAATTTATATAACTGGAATGATGCCTCTTTGATTTCAAGAAGTTGATCACCATCGGCAAATATTAATGTTTCAACATTATCACAGAAATCAAAGAATTTAGGGCCAAGATCTTCAACAGTTTTTTCTATTATAATTACTTTTAGGGATTTACAATAAGTGATAGCATTGGTTGAAATCTTCTTTGCTTGCAATGTAATAGTGTTTATATCTGCTCCTGATATAGCAAATGGGAATATTGTTCCAAAAATTGCTGGTATTCTTTTGAGATATTTGCAATTTTTGAAACCTCCTTTTTTGATATTATTAATGGAATAATTCTTTAATTTAAAAACAATTTCCTCTAATTTTGATTCTGAAAAAGCATATTTCGCTATATAATCGATTTGTCCAGAGTTCAATGCTTTATTATAATTATCAACAACTACTTGACTTTTTTCGTGTTGAATACCAATGTAAGGTTGATAATCTTCATCAGATTCTTCATCTACTCTGCTTCCTTCATCATCGCTTAATCTTTCACTTTCATCATCTATTAGTATTTTATTTTCATCATCGCCTGAACTATCTTCTTCAAATTCCATTTTCATCAATTGTGCAACTTCAAATCTCTGAATTGAAGAATTAAAAAATGCATATTCATCTATTTTTATAAGACATGATTGAATGCACATTGTTCTTAAGCCAGTTGTTCCTGAAAAACATGATCGCATAAAGTTAATATTATCAGAAATAATAATAATCTGTACATAATTAGAGTCTGAAATTGAACTTAAAAAATTGGTGTTTTGAAAAGTAGATCCAATGAATGTTATAGATGATGATGTAATATTTTTGGTTTTGATATATAATTGTCCAATATCTGTACCGAAGAAAATAGGTTTTTGAAAACTGAAATCGTTAGGTACAATCAAATCAACTTTGTACAGAGGCTGCATGTTTGCAAAACAATTTTCTTCGAACATTAATTCCACCCATGATTCATCATCACCACCTTCATCATCACCACCTTCATCAATGACACCTTCATCATCACCACCTTCATCAATACCACCTTCATCATCACCACCTTCATCAATACCACCTTCATCAATACCATTTTCAGCATCATTTTTATATTCTACAAAAAGTTTCTTGATTGATGATCCTTCAAATGCAAATTCTTTAATACTCACAACATGTAAACGTATAAAATCTATATTGAGAGGAGAATTCCTAAATGCATATGCTCCTATATGGTCCCACTGGCAATTGAGTAAATCTTTATTTCTTAGATTAAGTTGCTTACAATTCTCAAAGCAACTTCTTCTTAAATTTGCATTTTGAGGAAAATTAGATATTGATTTCAGTTCTGTGCAGCCATAGAACGCATATTTTCCTATTGATATATAATCATCACTTTTGAACACCAAAGATTCGATTTTTGTATTCCTAAATGAATAATTTCCAATGTTCTCGACTGTTTTTGGTATTGTTACTTTCCCAGTGATGGTGCTTCCATCAAACCATTTTTCTCCTATATCAACAAAACCAATTTCCGTTTTTGAAGGATCAATAAATTGGATTTGCTGTAAATTGGATAATTTTGTGATTTCATTAATTGTTATGACTGTAGACGGAATCCAAAGTACCTTTATTATAGAATTTTGAACAGGAGATATTATTGTAAGCTCATATTCTGTACCATTATAAATAAATTTTCTTTCAAGATGTACTTCTTCAAGACTTGAGTTTTGGAAAGTAGCAATGCCGTCAGAATTAAGTTCATAAGTCAATCCATTTCTCTCCAAAGATTGAAGAACTCCGATCAGAAACAGACAGCTAAGCATGTATAATGATCTGACTTTCCTTCAGAAAATTAAGAATTTGAAATATCAATGAAATCATTATGCAGAATCGATATTGAAAAAGTCAGATAATTGATAAGTGTTTGAGTACTATCGCTCATAATTCAAATATAAAAAGCAATCACATTCAAATTAAAATTGACGGTAATATTTTGAATAGTGTAAAATTAGATTTGAAAGACCATTTCAGAAATTTTTGAATGAGGAGCAAAAATATTCATAAAAGTGTTTATTAGTATATGTGCATGAAATTCAATTTAAAAAGTGAAATGATCATGATCTGAATCGGTAAACAACAAAAATTTTTCGAAAATTCAGTTTCGCCGACCAAAATTATAAATTATTGAAATACCTGGTATAAAAATATGAGTAGTGATATCAAACAATAAAGAACAATTCAAATTTCCGAAATTAAACGCAGTCCTTCGCTCCATCTTTAAAAATCATCTTCACATATTTGTTATATCATTCCTAGTGGTAATTTTCAAAAAAAGGGTGATCTCTTTAATATTATTTCATCAAAATTAATACAAGAATGCATGAAGCATATCTATATCTCATTCAACTTGTCTTTTCTAGTAAGCCAACTTCAACGTAAAATAATGAGTTTTTATTAGAAATAATCCAAAGATATTTGATAATCACAAAAAAGAATATAAAAAGAAAAGACAATGAATTATGAATCTTTAATCTATGTAATTTCACAACAAATATGGATAATTTCTTGTTTGATTTATAGTAATAATATTGTTTATATGATGTTATATAGGAGGAAATAAAATGCCAAATATGTGCCAACGAATACACCAGGCTTTTATTCTGCAAACCTGCATATTATTGATGGTATTAAAAAAAACTTCAATGATATGCTATAAGAAAAAAAGAATATTTATTTTAGAGTGATAAAAATAAAATCAGATTGTATTACAAAAAATATAAAAATAATAATAAAATAAATAAAAAATCTCTTAGTAGAGACCAAGTTCATCACCAATATCATCTAAATCCTTATTTGATGTTTGCGGGGAATCCTGCTTCTGCTCATCCTTCTGTTGGGCCGGTTTAGAAGGATTCTGCTGCTGATTTCCACCGAAACTGTAAGAAGATGATCCATAACCACTAAATCCTGTATTTCCTCCAAAGTTTGGATTGCTTCCAAATCCAGAACTGAAACCAGAGTTAGATCCGAATGTGGAATTCGATCCGAAACCTGAGTTGAAGCCAGAGTTAGATCCGAAGTTTGAGTTCGATCTGAAACCAGAGTTTCCATAGCTATAATTTGAAGAAGAACCGAAACCTCCGAATGGTTTCTGTTCTTGTTGTTCCTTTCCGAATGAAGACTGGAATGAGAAAGATGGCTTGTCATTTCCAGGTGCGTTTGCGTTGAACTGCGGTGTGTAGAATGGTTTGTTGAAGGCGAACTCTTGCTTCTGCTCTGTCTGCGAAGAAGGCCGGTTTGTTGTAAGTGAATTCTTCCTTCTTTTCAGGTACAATTGGAGGAGTGAAGAATGATGGTTTGTTGACGTTTTCTTAAGGTGTTTGGAAGAAGAATGGCTTTGGCTGTGGTGGAGCTTCTTCTGTTTCTTTGTTTTCATTGGATAAAGAGAATGTTGGCTTTTCATATGAGTCTTCTTTCTTTTCTTCTGTTTGTGGTTGTCCGAATTTTGGAGGAGTGAAAATCTTTGGTTTTTCTTCTTCCACTTTCACTTCTTCCTTTGGTTCTTCTTCTTTGATTTCTTCTTCTTCTTTCTTTGGCTCTTCTTCTTTGACTTCTTCCTTCTTTTGTTCTTCTGGAACTGGTGGTTGATTGAATGTTGGAACGAAGTACTTCGGCTTCGAAGGAGAACTATTTGTTGATTCTTTCTTTGTTGCAGATGTTGGAATGAAAATTACTTTTTCTTGTTCTTCTTCTTTGACTTCTTCCTTCTTTGGTTCTTCAACTGGTTTAACTACTTGTGGAACAAAGAATTTTGGCTTTTCTGCTTCATTCTGTTTAGGCATTGGAGGAATGAAATACTTTGGTTTCTCTGGTTGTGCTGGAGGAGGAACGAAAACCTTTGGTTTTTCTTCAACTTTCTTTTCTTTTTCCTTCTTCTCTTCTTCATTTTGTTTTGGTGTTGTTGGGACAAAGATCTTTGGCTTGTTTTCTTCTTCGTTCTTTGTTTCTTCTGCTGGTTTTGTAATTGTTGGAACGAAGAACTTTGGTTTCTCTGGGACAGACGTCTTTGGTTTTTCTTCTTCTTTCTCTTCTTCCTTCTTTGTTTCTTGTTCTGCTGGTTTAGCTATTGTTGGAACGAAGAACTTTGGTTTGTTGTCTTCTTGTTCTGATGGTTTATTAAATGTTGGAACAAATAATTTCGGTTGAGCTGGAGGAGGAGCAAAAATCTTTGGTTTTTCATCCTTGTTTTCTTCATTTTGCTTTGGAGTTGTTGGAACAAAGAACTTTGGTTTCTCTTCTTCCTTCTTTTGTTCTTCTGTTTGTTTAGGAACAACAGGAACAAATACCTTTGGTTTGTTATTTTCTTCCTTGTTTTCTTCATTTTGTTTTGGAATTGTTGGAACGAAGATCTTTGGTTTGTTGTCTTCTTGTTCTGATGGTTTAGAAATTGTTGGTGTGAAGATCTTTGGCTTTGATGATTCCTCTTCTTCTTCATCGTTATCTTCAACTGTATTTAAGTTGAGTTTCTTCTTCTTTGATTCTATTTCTTCATCGATATCTTTGATGTCTTCCTTGATTTGGTCGATTTTATCTCCTTTCAAAGCTCTGATTTGTCTGTTTACTTCTGAAAGTTCTTTATTCTTTTCGAGGAGTTCTTTCTCCCATTTCTTGAGTTCTGAATCTCTGTCTGCGATGATGTCTTCGAGTTCGAACTTCTTTATCTTCAAATCAGCGACTTTTTCATCGAGAAGTTGGAGTCCTTCCTGTTCAGATTTCTTGGAAGAATTCTGTATTTCTTCAAGAGATTTGATGTCTTGTTCAAGGAGAGAAATTGAAGATTCCAAGGATCTTATGTTCTGTTTGTGTTGTTTCTTCATTTCTCTGACTTCTTTCTTCTTCTTTTCAGCGATTTCTTCGAGTTCTTTCTCCTTTTCTTGCAATGATTTCGCTGATGATTTCTCGATTTCTTCCTCAAGATCTTTCTTCCTTCTTTCGGCGTTTGAAATGGAAATCTCTAAATCTGTGATCTTATCATTCAAGTCTGTGTTTTCTGTTGTGATCTTCTTTGCTTTCTCTTGTAATTCTGCAACTTCTTGTTTAAGTTTGTCACTTTTTTCTTGTTGTTCTTTAGATTTCTTTTCCAAGTCTTCTTTTTCTTTGGATTTCTCGGAAATGATTCCTTTGTCTTCCTCGAGCTTCTTTTCCATCTCCGTGGACTCTTTCTCCATGGCTTCAGTGCTGGACTTCAATGACTCAATTTCATTAGAAAGTGTCACTTTTTCATTTTGAAGGGAATTTGATTGTTCGATATTTTGTTTTTGTTTTTGAGATAATTCATCATTCAATTTCTGCAATTCTTCCTTCTTCTTTCTTAGCTCTTCTATCTTATCTTGTGAGAAGTCACCTGTTGATGTCATTTGCTGCTCGAGTTCTTTGTTCTTTTGCTCCAAATCTTCTGATTCTTTCTCCAAATTAGAAACGGTTTTTTCTTGTTCTGACATCATCTTCAAAAGATTTTCATTTTTAGCCTTCTCTGCATCAAGTTTTTGCTGAGCGTCTGTAAGTTTCTGGCGTGCGAGAGTGTTGTATTCTCTTGCTCTCCTCTTATCCTCGTTGTGTTTCTTTGCGAGCTGCTCTCTCTGGCCCTTGATTTCTTCAATTGATTTCTTGATTTCTTGGAATTCTTTTTCGTTGTCGATTCTGAACTGGTTGTTCTTCATCGACAATTCATCGCATTGTTGTCTGAGATCAGAAACTTTCTTCTTCGCTGCTTCCATTGTTGACTCCAAGTACTTCCTTTGTTCTACTAATTTGTTGTACTGCTGTTCAACAGTGTTCTTTTCTCCTGTGATTAAATCGTTTTCGCTTTCTTTCTCTGAAATTTCTTTCTTCAAATCTTCAATTTGTTTCAAGAGTTCTGGATTTTGTTTTTCAGATTTCTCTTCGATTTGTTTCTTGAGATCTTGGAGTTCTTGTAACAATGATGAATCGTTCTTTAACTTCTCGAGTTCTTCCTTCTTTTGCTCGATCTCTTTCTTCAAATCTTCGTTGTCATTGAGCTGTGACAATTCTTCTGTCAATTTTTCTTTTTCTTGTGACAATTTTTGTTTCTGTTCTTCATTGATTTGTTTCTTGAGATTTAATGTTTCTTTGAGTGAAGAAACTTCTCCTTCAAGCATTTCCTTGTCTTCGTCATCATTGACATTCTCTAGTTCTTTGTTCAATGACTTCTTTTCTTCTTCTAATTTGGCCATTTCTGATTTAGATTTTTCTTTTTCTTCAGAAATCTTTGATTTGATTGTTTCGTTTTCTTCTGTCAATTCTTGGAGTTTCTTCTTAAGATCTTTGAGTAGATCTGATAACTGTGATGAGTCTGCCTTGTTCTCTATCTCTTGGTTGTTAATCTTCTCCTTGAGTGAATCGATTTCTTTGTACAAAGAATTGGATTTGTCGCCTCTTTCTGATTCTTTTTCTTTCAGCTCATTTTGTAATTGAGAAATCTGAGATTTGAGTGAATTTTCTGTTTCAGAAATTTCATTTTGTTTCTGTTTGATTTGTTCTTGTAATTCAGAAATCTGAGATTTGAGCTGTTGATTTTCTTCTTGTGACTTATTGTCTTTAAGTTCTTCCTTCAAAGCATCGATTTCTTCTTTGAGTTTCTCGTTTTCTTCTTCGTCTTCAATCATTTGCTGTAATTTGTTGTTGAGATCATCGAGTTCTTTCTGCAAATTCTCTTTAGTTTGTTGTGGATTTGATTCTTCTTTGACGGAATTGATCTGTTCATTGAGTTCATCGATTTGGCTCTGTAATTCCTTGTTTTCACTGTCATCTTCTAATGAATTCAATTCTTCTGTCAAGTCATTGATTTCTTTGAACAATTTATCTGTTTTCTCCTTGTTTTGTGTCTTCTTTTCAGAAATTAATTGTTTGAGACGTTCAATTTCTGTTTCAAGAAGTTTTCTTTCTTCATCAAATTGACTTTCTTCTTCGTATTCGTTGTTAAGATCATCGAATTCTTGTTCTAAATCATCAATGTTCTTCTGAGCTTTTTCGTTTTCTTCCTTAGTTAATTTGATATCTTCTTTGAGTTTGTTGATTAAGCTTTGTTTGTCTTCTAACTGTTTCTTGAGATCATCAAGTTCTTTCTCGTCTTCTTCTGATTGTTTGTTATCAAGAAGAGATTTGATTTCTTCAATATGTGATCTGATTTCTTCTTTGTCTTCTTCCTCTTGGATTATGTTTTCTATTTGTGAATTGAGTTGAGAAAGTTCTTTGAGTAAATCAGATTTGGTTTGTGCATCTTTGTTTGATGCTTTGATTTCATCGATTTGTTTGGATAAATCGATGACTTCTTGCTTCAAATCATTGATGTCATCTGTGTTTTGTAGTTGTTCGTATTCTTCCTTGAGTTTGTTGAGTTCTTCAACTAATTGTTGTCTTTCTCCATCTTCTTCTTCACCGAGATCGATGATTTCTACATCGCGTGATTTGACGTTCTTGAGATTTTCGATTTGTTCACGCAATTTGTCGTTTTCATCATCAGCTTCAGCCAATTTCTCTGTTTTCTCGGTGAGTTCGTCGATTTCCTTCTGGAGTTTGATCTTTTCTTGTTCTGGATCACCGAATACAGAGATCTGTGTCTTCAAGTCTTCAACTGTTTGTTTCATTTCTTCTATCTCTGTGTTTTCTTGGAGATTTTGAAGTTCTTCTTTGAGTTTATTGATTTCTTGAGATAATTTCTCGTTTTCTGCATCATTTTGTTTGCGTTTGGAAGCGATTTGTGCCTTGAGATTTTCAACTTCTTCAGCTCTTTCATCTTCATTTCTGTTTTCTTCCTCAACTTCTTCAAGTTTGACTTTGAGTTTGTCCAAGATCTTTGTCAAACTTTCGTTGTAATTCTTGTATTCCATTTCTTGAGAATCGATCTTCTTCTTGAGATTTTCGATTTCGTTATGGAGTTTTTCAGCATTTACAGCATTCTCTTGTTCTTTATGTTGTAACTTAGCTTTGTACATTTCGATTTCATGCTGTTTCTGTTCTGTTGCCTGCTGTCTTTCTTTTTCTTTCTTATCGATTTCTTGTTTGAGTAAATCGATTTCGCTGTCTCCTGCGTTTTGGAGTTTTTCGATTTCTCTTCCACAATTATCGATTTGTCTTTGCAATTCTACCTTGTCGTCTTCGTTTTCTTTCTTTGCCTGTTGGAGTTTCTCCTTAACTTCATTGATTTCTTTCTGTTTCTGGTCGATTTCCTTGTTATTCTTGTCAACTTCTTGTTCAATTTGTTTCTGGATTTCTTCGTGTTCCTTGTTCATGTTTTCAAGAAGTTTCTTGTGATTATTGATGATTTCTTGCAATTTCTGGTTATCTGCCTCGTTTTCTTGCTGTTTCTCGTTGATTCTGTCCTTGATCTGATCGATTTGGTTGTGGATATCTGATTGATTATCTGATTTCAAGTTCTCAAGGATTTCTTTGTACTTTGAAAGTTCTTCTTCCAAAGAAGATCTAACTTCTTCATTCTGCTTCTTCTTCTCGTCGGCTTCTAACTTGAGTTCTTCGATCTCTTCACTGAGCCTGACTAATTCGTCTGGATCAACTTTGTTTTCGGCTTTTTCAAGTTCATTTTGTGCGTCACTTTTTTCTGATGTCAGTTTTTCAATTTGTTTCTTCATTTCTTCGTTCTTCTTGTTCTGGTCATCGATTTGAGCTTTAACAGATAAGATTTGGCTCTTGAGGGAGTCAACTTGTTGCTGCTCAACTTTCTCTATCTTGTCGTACATTTCCTTGAGAGAATGGAGCTCGTTTTCGGAATGAGAAACTTCTTCTTTGTTTTGAGAAACTTTTGCATCGAATTGGAATTTCAATTCCTGATATTCTTTCTTGAGTTTTTCGATGTCTTCTTGTGGTTTCTCTTGTTGTTGCAATTGTGCTTTAAGTGTATCAATCTTGTTACGAAGATCCATGATTGTATTATCATTCTGCATCTTCTTTTCAGCTTTGACAATTGTTTCATTCTCCAAAACATTCTTTTGGTTTTCTAAATCATTCAATTCAGATTCAACTCTGATTAATTCATCTGTCAATGATTTGTCTTCATCAGACATTCTCTGGTATTCGTCCTTCATCATTGCGAGTTTCTTCTTTGTCTCTTCTATTTCTTCTTTAAGAGATTCGGAGTTATCATCTGTTTGTGGTAAATCATTGAGTTCTTGCTTCAATTGGCCGAGTTGTTTCTCGAATGTTTCATTGGAAACTTGTCTTTCTAAGTTGTTCGATTTCCTGCTGTTGATTTGCTCTGTGATTTCATCAATCAAGTTCTGCAAATCTTCAGTCTTGTCTTCGACAACTTCGATTTGTTCGAGTTCCTTTTGTTTCTCTGTATAAGCTTCTTCCAACAAATCATTTCCTTCTTTGATATCTTGGTATTCTTTACGTTTCTGATCGATTTCGGATTTGATTTCATCGATCTTTTGTTGGATTTCTTCTGCTTTGCTTTCGATAACTGCAATGTTATCGAATTCGCTCTTCAACTGATCATATTCTTCCTTCAAAGCTGTGTTGAGCTGTGAGCATTCTTCATTCTTCTTCTGTTTGTCTGTGATTTTATCTTTGATTTCTTCAATTTGTTGTTGCAAATCATTGGATTTGTCTTTAACAGGAATAATTTCGTTCAATTCATTCTCAAGATCTTTGATTTGGTTATCGAGTTCTTCATTGTGTTTAGTTGTTTCTTCATTCTGCTTTTGTTTGTCAGAAATCATTTGTTTGAGTTTTTCAATCTTCTTTTCTCCTTCTTCAGATGATGATGAAACAACTTCGATGTTATCTAACTCGTTCTGCAAGCTCTGGAGTTCCTTGAGAATATTCTCGTTTCCGGATTTGATTGTCTCATTTTGTGATTTCTTCTCTTCAAGAAGTTTTTGTAAGTCTGTCACTTTTTGTGATAATTCCTCAGATTTATCTTCTTCTACATCGATTTCATCGTATTGTTTCTGGAGATTGTTGAGTTCCTCGTTCAAGATATCATTAGCTTCCTTGATATCATTGTTTGTTGTGTTCTTTTCTTCGATTTGTGACTTGAGTTTTTCGATTTCTGAATGGATTTCTTCAGCTTTATCTTCAACAACTTCGATTTGATCGAATTCTTCTTGGAGTTTGGACAATTCTTCCTTCATGTTCTCGTTGTTTTGTTGTGTATTTGCGTTGTGTTCCTTCTTTTCTTCGATTGATTTATGAAGATTTTCGATTTCTGCCTTGATTTCTTCTGAATCATCCTTTTCTTCAGCGATTTCTTCTAATTGGTTCTTGAGATCATTGAGTTCCTTGTTGAGGAGTTCATTGGATTCGCTGATTCCGCAGTTTGTTGCCTTCTTTGTCTCGATTTCTTTCTGGATTTTGACAATTTCCTTTCTGATTTCATCGGATTTGTCTTCAACAGGTTCGATCTTTTCGAGTTCTTCCTTCAAACTGTTCAACTCTTCTTCGACAACTTCATTGGCTTCTTTGATGTCGTTGTTAAGTTGATGCTTGGAATCGATGTCACTTTTCACTTTTTCAATTTCTTCTGTCAGTTTTTCAACATTATCTTCAACATTTTCAATTTGTTCCAAATCTTGTTTGAGTTTATCAAGTTCTTCATTGAGTTTGTTGTTGTTCTCCTTCTGTTGCTTCTTTGTTTCGATTTCTTTCTGTGTTTCTTCGATTTGTTGATTGATTTCTTCTGTTTCATCTTTAATTTCTTCGAGATCTTGTAATTCTTTGAGTTTTTCATCGAGTTCTGATTGTTTTTCTTCATTGTTCTTAGCGATTTCTTCATTCTTCTTGTTCTTTTCATCGATTTGTGTCTTGATGTTCTCAATTTCTTCTGAAATCTCGTCAGCTTTGGATTGATCTTCATCTTTAATTTGTTCTAATTCTTGTTTGAGCTCATCGAGTTCTTTCTGTTTTTCGGAGATTTCCTGTTTAGTTGTCTCGATTTCCTTTTGGATGTTTTCAAGTGGTTGGTCACTTGTTTCCATCTTAGAGAGTGTTTGTCTGAGGTTTTCGAGTTCTTCAGCCAATTTCTTGTTTTCTTCTGCAATCTTTTCGTTGTTTTTCTTCTTTTCTTCGATTTGTGATTTGACGGTTTCGATTTCGGAACTGATTTCTTCTCTTTTATCTGGAATTGTTTCCATGTTATTGAGTTCATCAGTCTTTTCTTCCTTTTCCTGGATGAGTCTGCTGATTTCGTCATTCAATTCGTCGTTTTCTCTCTGTTTCTGAGAAATTTGTGCTAAAACTTCATCCAATGATTTCTGGAGAGAATCTGTGTTGTCGTCAACATGTGGAATTGATTGCAGTTTGGCCTCTGCGTTCTTGAGGTCTTCATGGAGATGTCTGATCAATTCATCGATAGTTGTGTTGTTTGCAACACGTTTTGTGATTTCTTCATTGACTGAATCAATTTTCTCTTTGAGTTCTTCGGAATTATCAGCGATATCCGTCATTTCCTCAAGCTCCTTGTTCTTGTCTTGGAGTTCCTGCTTGAGTTTGTTGTTTGTATCACGGATTTTCTCGATTTCCTTGTTGACATTTTCAATTTCTGATTTGAGATAATCAGAATTATTTTTGACACTTGACATTGAGTCCAATTTTTGTTTAGTTATCTGTAACTCGTGTTCTAAATCATTGTTGGACTTGTCTGTCTGTTCGTTGTTCTTCTGTTTCTCATCAATTTGTTTCTGAAGTTCAGAAATTTGCGCCTGTAATTTGTCACTTTTATCTTCAATGATTTCAATTTCATCCAATTCTTTAGCGAATTTTTCGATTTCTTCGATGAGTTTTTCATTTTGTTCTGTGTTGTTTTCGTTCTGTGACTTACGCTCGTTGATCTGCTCCTTGATTTCATCGAGTTTCTTGTTCAATGACTCAGAATCATCATTGACTAACTCTGTTTGGTCGAGTTCGTTTTGTAAATCTTTCAATTCTTTTTGTAATTTATTGTTTTGTTCGGTTAATTCGTTATTTAACTTCTTTCTGTCTTGCAAGTTATCCTGGAGTGTTTGTATTCTCTGTCTGATTTCTTCAGACTGGGCTTCAACAATCTCAATGTCATCGAGTTCCTTTTGTGCATCATTTTCGGCTTCAATCAACAAATTCATTATATCTTGGATTTCTTCATTTGATTTCTTTTTTTCTTCGATTTGTTGTTTGATGTTATCAATCTTTTCTTGGATTGTTTCTCTTTCGTCATTGACTACTTCGATTTCTTCCATTTCATTCTCCAAATGCTGCAATTCTTCGTTCAATTTGTTCATTTCTTCTTGGATTTTCTCGTTTTCTTGCGATTTCTTGACAATTTGTTCGTTCATTGCATCAACCTTTTGGTGGAGCTCTGGTGTGTTGTCTTTGAACTGGTTCAAATTATCAAGTTTCTCCTTTAACTCTGAAATTTCTTTGGAAACTTTTTCAATTTCGTCACTTTTTTCTTTATTTTGTTTTTCTAAATCTTTGTATTTCTGCTCTACCTTCGATCTCTGTTGTTTCAAGTCATCGATTTTGTCGACCATGTCATTGTACAAGATCTTGGCATCATCAACTTTCGATTTGAGGTCTTCGACTTCTTCAAACAATTGATCGTTTTCGTTTTCAATTTCATCCAATTGTAAACTGTCGAGTTCATCTTGTAATTTGGACTTTTCATCATTGAGTTCTTTGTCTCTCTTGTTCTTTTCTTCGGAAATCTTGTCTTTGTTGGCTTTCTCTTTCTGGATTTCGTCTTTGAGCATGATAATACTTGAATTTAGTTCGTCATTGTTCTTAATCTTCTCTTTCTCGAGCTCTTCCTTCTCTTTGAGAAGCTCATTGAGTTGATCTTTGAGGTCGTCAACTTCAAAGTCAGGAATAACTTCGAGTTCGTCCTTTAATTTCGAAATTTCATCGGATACGCTTTCGATTTCGGCCTTGAGCTCGTTCTTCTTGGCTTCGTGTTCATCCTTGGCGGACTGGAGCTCTTGGTCGGCCTTAACCATCTCGTCCATCTTAGATTTAAGTTGTTCATTCAACTTATTGAGCTCGGCAACGCGTTGGTTGTTCTTTCCGAAGAGTTCTTCCCTCTTCTTGTTGACTCTGCTCTCGAGTTCTTTGAGATCTTTGGTTGCTTGGTCGATTTCGTTCTTGAGATCGACATTTTGTGGCTGATTGAGGTCGTTGTACTCTTTCATGGTCTTTTGGAGTTGATCATTGATCTTGGCGATCTCTGCTTCGCGGCTGGCCTTTTCTTCGGCTTGTTTACGTTTAAGATCGTTGAGATCTTTCTGTTTCTGGGCCAACTGTTCTTGAAGTGCGGACTTCTTCTTGCTGTGATCGCTCTGGACTTTGTTGACAAGGCCGTTGAGCTTGTTAAACTCAGAATCAATTTCTTGGATCTGATTATTGATGGATTGGAGCTCAGTATTGGTATTTTCGGCATCATTGGTTAACTCCTTACGGCGTTCAATGAGATTTTGTCTCCTCTGGGCAAGTTTCTGACGAGAATCTTCGATGGTCTTTCTCATTTCACCGAGTTTCTTCTCAGCAATCTGAGTTTTTGTAGTAGTTTCGTCGAGTCTATCTTTGAGTTTCTTGATTTGTGGCTCTTCGTCCTCTTGTAAGTGCTTTATTTCATCTTCGATCTTTGTCTTTTCAGATTCAACTTTGGCGATCTGCTTCTTGAGCTTCTCTTCGTCTTTGCCTTGAGAATTCCTTAACTCTTGTAAAGCGCGGCGTCTTTCTGCGACCAAATCAATCATTTCATTGAGCGAGTAGTTGAGATTTTCGGTCTTGCCCTCTTCGTTCTCGATCTCCGTTTCAGTCTGGTCGAGCTGGTCCTTAAGTTGTTTCATTCTACGATCCTTGTAATTTCCACGATCGATGAAATTGCGATAAGAAGGACTTGAAGGAGGAGTCTTGAGTTCAGATAGCTTGGACTCGCCTTCAATGATACCGGAGAGTTCAGAAATTCGAGAATTGCTGAGATCTGTGGCAGCTTTGAGGTTCTTGATCTCTTCGTCTTTATCTTGTAATTGTTTACGAAGAGAATCCATCTGTACTTTCGAGCGTGCGTTTTCTCTGTATAGTTGCTTAATGAGAAGAGCGCTTTTCGTTTCGTCAAGACCTGGACCACCTTCAGAGGCAGGGAGCTTCATCAAAGGCCCATTTGTTGCAGCTTCCTGAAGTTCTTTATTTTTCTGTTCCAGATCGGCGATGTCTCTGCGCTGTTTATTAATTGTTCTCATTAATTTCCGAATTTTGATCTCGGTTTCATTTGAGTCATCAGCTTGATTGATGCCACTCGTATTGGGGAATTCCCCGACAAAACTGATCGTTTTTGCTTTAAGTTCTTTATTTTCATATTCAAGAGATTCATTCTGATGTTCTAATTCGATCATTCGTTGGCTCTGCTCTTTTAATTCATTGTATGCTTCTTGGGAGCGCTGTTGTGCTCTCGCCAACTGCTGAGCGAGTTGTTTATTAACATCTATCAAGTTGTGTCGATTCTTATAAAGTTGCAAGCATATTTCCTGTAACTTCTTAGTGTTAGAAATGTTCTTGATAGAGTCTGCTGTGATAACAATCTTCTCAGTTGGAGACTGAACAGACATTTATGTTTTCACGGCCTAGAAAAAAAATAAATAAAAATTGAATGCATGATCAATTTCGCTTGGCGCCCTTAGTAGTAGGATAGGATGGGTTTTGTGACTTTTTTTGTAAACGTAAGAATTCATACAATATCGAGCGATTTTGTATCATTTTTTTTAACATATGAAGTAAAAAATGTATGATTCTTACGGTTTTTATTCTTACGTTTTTGAATAAATCAAGATTTAAAAATTTTTCAAAATTGTAAGACATTTACACTCAGCCATACATAATGAAATAAAAAATAAAAAATTTTTAAAAAATAAACCATTAAAAAATTAAAGTTATTTTTAAAATAATTTATTTTTTTATTCTTACATAAATGACCCAACAAGTAAAACAGATAAAATAGATTATCGAATTTTAGAGGATGGTGTTCCTGTTTATATTCAAAGATTTAAAGGGAAGCAATATTATAGAATTGTTAATCCTGAATACATAAAACATTTATTTAAAAAGGAAGACTGTGAATTATTAAACGCTAATGAATATGAAACCAATAAATCAAAACTGAGATATAAATATATTGGAAGTGATGAAAGGTGTAAAGATAAAGATAAAGTTTATTAAAAAAAAAAAGGTAGTGGGGCTTCCAGGCACTTCGTGCCCTCTAGCCCCGAAGATGTTTAGTATAAATGAAGTTTTTATTCGGAAAATTGTTAGTCTTCTGGTGTGAATTCGGAGGACTCTTCTTCTTCCTCAATTGCTTCTGGGAAGAAGCCTTCTTCTGGGTCGAAAACATTATATAATGTTTCACTTTTCACAAATTTATATATGTTTTCATGTTTTGTCACTTTTCTGTCACTTTTCGGGAAAAAACATTTTTATTTATAATATATAATGAATTTTACAAAACCTCGTTACCGTTCTTTGGAATAAGAGTAAATGTAAAGATATTATATTGAGAGAACTTAAAGAAACTACCGAATGGTCTAACATTTGTAGATTTGTTCGGTGGAGTTTCTTATATTCCCATTTGTGCCATACAATATTCCCAGACTCAAAGATTATATGCAATGACTTCGACAACTATATGGACCGTCTCAAACATATTCCAGACACAAACAATATATTGAAAGAGTTAAAAGAAAAGATACCTATAGGTAAGATGGAACGTATACCATTAGATAAGAAAATATTGTGAGAGAGGTTTTGAAAAAAGCAGAATATATAGACTGGGATAGTATATCTGCTAGACTATTATATAGTGGTTCTATAAGAGTTCATGACATTGAAACACTTATGTCAAAAGTTTTATATCTTAACTATACAAATGTTTTCAAAAGGACATAGAAAAATATATTGAGGGTATAGAGTTGTGTAGATGTCATTGGCAGAGTTGTAATGAAAAATTATAAGACAAGGAAAATGTTTCTTTATAGTGGCACCGCGCGTTCTATAACACATGGATTTTCATACCAAGTAGACTGGACTTTGAGAGACTCTTTAGGAAACTTTAGACGTTTTACATAACCATCCATGCTTTTACTTACATCCCGATAAAAGTGGTTTGGAAACCGTTATGAGATGGTTAGAGGACATACATGACTATGAGTTTAGATATGACAAGATAGAATATGAGAGAGGTCTATAAACCGGAGAAAGTGTCATAACAAAGAAATTTTATTAGAGTAAATGTGGTTTGAAATAGGACTACTTGTTTTAGGTTTTTTCCATTGTGTCATTTATTTATTTGACGTGGCAGAAAGATATAGAGAATATAAGTGAACCAATGCCTGCAAATGTTCAGTATATGTACTACGTAAGAGATATTTTTTATCTAATATTAAATGGACGCACAGAACTTAGCGAATGCACAGACACACTGGACAACCAAACCCAGAGAATATTCCAAATGAAGTTAGTAATACAAACTGCAATGGCAAACTAGGGTCAAGTGCCAACAGATGTACAAATGCAAACTGCCATGTCAAATGACGCTGCGTTAGGTTTGCCACCATGTATGCAAATATGAGATGGAAAGAGTTTTATACAAACCCTGAAGTGGATATAAACAACTTTATGCAGATGACGCGAACACGGAGGTTACCACAGAATATGTTTTCTACCAGAGGAGAAACAGAATGTATGAGCTCCAGTTAAAGAATGCTATGGAACTCAACAGGAAATAAGAGACTAGGCGGACATTAGATTTTTACATATAGTAAAATGGGTTTCTTCAGTAAGATAGGACTTCTTTCGAAATGTTGGAAGAGGTATATGGAATGGAATAAAAACCGTAGGAAGAGGAATTTGGAACGGTGTCAAAAATATTGGTAAAAGGGTAGGTCAGTTTGTTTGGTATTATACTAAAGACCTGAACCAGAAGAGCAAGCTCCTGTTATAACAACAGCCTGAACCTGCACCACAGTCTAGTTGGCAACCAATCCAACACCTCAACCGTATTAAAAAATTATATTTTTACCGTTCGATAGTAGTGTATATGAAACTAAGTTTCTAAGTAAACGCATGGTATAATGGAATTATTCTTTTTCTTCCATCTGTAGTAAACCATACTTGAAAGTCTGAAATACTCTCCACTTGGTGTTCGTATACTTTGTAGGTTTTTCGTAAAAATCATTCATCAGACATAAAAGAGTTTTGCGCACCAGAAAATGAAGCATGAACAATAATAGCATCTGGGTCGAAAATATTTTCATATGTTCCATTAGGGTTTTCGACTTCATAAAAGTCTGGGTGTACTGGATATGCTGCAGGCTGATTTAACATCCTCATAAATCTATACCATGCCAATTGTTTATATTTTGTAGAAATATAACGTTTTCTCCAAGGTCTTCTATTCTATTGATTTTAACAGTTGCATTTTTCCTGTCATAAATAATATCGAGATGGTATTCTCCTCGATCAGTGTTATATACTGTTTTGCATATTCGATATAGTATATGTTTATTTTTCTTGAAAAGCTTGAAGAGTTGTTTCTAAGTTTACGAAGCAACTAACTTGTAAAAGTTTTCCCTGTTCAAATTTCTCATACATACGTTTTTCTTTGTTATAGTATCGAACTTCAAACCGACCGTAAATGGGAAACCATGTATGCTTCTGAAATGAACTTCATTCTACGAAAGCCAATAGCTTTTGTGACAGATGGGTCTCTTAACCATTCTAATGGGTAGTCAAACGTATGCCTTCATGCTTTACGGTCTCTGTCTCAAACTTTTGACCGACATTAGTAAAAAGTTCATCTAAGGTTTAGTTGTAGCAACTCTTGAATTTTCTTTTTCTATTGGAAGCATATTTTATCTAGAATAAAAATGTCGAAAGATATTGCTTCCATGAGAGAAATACAACACAACCGACACTCATTATGCAAGCTCTAATAAGAACACAACAAACTTTCAAAACTATTCTAAGATATTTGAGTCATTGAAGAAGGAAACTTAAAACTGACAATAAACCCAATGACAGATGAGTTTCTGTTTCAAGACAATAAGAACCATACTGTCTGTATAAATCCAACAAAAGAGACTTTAAACGAGAAACCTATAAATGAAACTTCTTTTGAAAACAGATGTTGACAACAAAGCTGACAAAGAATATGTAGACGATGCAATAGCAAAAGAGAAGAAAAGAGCTAACAATGCTTATGCACACAAAAGAACATACTCATCCTGAACTAGCAGACAAAACATATGTTGACAATAAAATGTCAAGTGAAGTGACGAGAGCTGAAAACGAATATTCTAAAAAGACTCATACACATTCTATATCTGAAATAACAGACTTACAAAGAAACCTTAAACAGTAAAAGTGCCGTTGGACATACACATACCATTGCAAATATTACAAACTTACAAGAAACCTTAAACAGTAAAAGTGCCGTTGGACTAACATACCATTGCAATATTACAAACTTACAAGAAACCTTAAACAGGAAAAGTGCCGTTGGACATACACATTCTATATCATGAAATAACAGACTTAAACGTTAGCCTTGAAAAGAAAGCAGACAAGAACCATACACATACCATTGCAAATATTACAAACTTACAAGAACTTTAAACAGGAAAAGTGCTTTGGACATACACATTCTATATCTGAAATAACAGACTTAAACGTTAGCCTTGAAAAGAAAGCAGACAAACATATGTCAATGAAATATACCAAAGTTTGATAGGACACAAAAAAATATTGAAACTATTGTTGGTGACTTTTTTTCAATGAAGAAAATAAATATTTTAGATGGCAGTTTGTACATTCCTTAAAAAATGGTAATACGTATAAACTCATTCCGAAAAATAACAATGAAATGTTGTAAGCTATATAAAGAATGATGGTACACAAGTTAAAGTTCCATTGACAACACTGCTACTTAACTTATATGGAGACGAACAAAAGAAATATTTCCGAGTTTATGAAATGGCAGATATGACATTGCCTGACCCAGCTCCAGCACCATATTATTATGACTATGTAGATGACGAAGGAACACTACATGCAGATGAACAAAAGCAAACATTATATTTAGATTATTATAGATATAAAAGATATAATGCAATAGAAAAAACGAGAATAGTATATTATTATATAGATGACAGAAATAAATATTATAGTCAAGATTTTACCTACCCTGAAAACATAAGATTATATTATAAAAAATATTCTTACACAAACCAGAAGAAACCTGAAATAGTTGCACTATATTTTAAGTTCAAAAGAGACAATCCTATAATGTCTCATATGTTTGATTTAATGAACCCAGTAAGGTTCTATTTATACATCTATGGAAGCAAGAGGTCTCAAGTAATGTTTGGTGTTGTGTGCATGGGAACAAATAGTCGACAGGTTTTGTATTGTGCAAACTCTTCAAAGGAAACAGGTGGTTCGAAGAAAATTAAAAGAAGCAACCTTCCACCGCACACTCATACAGAACTACAAAACTTTTCTGGCGACCATAGCCACTCATTAGGAGACCACCATTATACAACTCAGAATATTATGCTGG